AAGCTTTGCTGGTTGTTCTGCTTACATTATGGTCGCCAAGGTGATTGTAAATTGATTGAGGGCTTGCTCAAAGATCATTCTAGATATTGATGCTAAGTTTAGTCATCTACAAACCCAGAGAAGAGAGTTGCCATCATAGCAAAGGATATTTTTGACAAGAGAACAAGACACATTTAATCTGAGAGTAGAAGCTGAAGGAAAATGCAGCAAGATTCTCCCAAAAGCTGACAGACGATCTTACATAGGACAGAAAACTTGTTCTGAGTGTCCTCAAGGGGGCAGACTTAAGATCTATGGGGAGAAGCGATGATCTTATTTCATTGCATAATTGTTGCACATTTTATGCCATTTGGGGAGGAAGGGGTGTCAAAAATGGCTGTGACCATTATCTGAAACATTGCTATAAAGAAAGAAAAAGTTTTTTTACTCCTAGAAACGCCATTTCACTATTACCCTGGTTAGAGAAATATACACCAAAGTAAGTTACCTTCTCTAGAGATGGCGTTCCCAGAGTTTTGAAGGATGAATTGTGAAATGAGCTACTATGACTGGGAGACATTTGATTCAAACCGGTAGCATTCTGTCCGATGGTGGTAATTTTCAAGACTCTCTTTCCTAGAAAGCAAGGTTTGCTCATTTCTAAAATTACTTTCTACACAATAAAAGTCAACTTACTCATTACTCAATATATTTAGTGATGGATTATATTATTATATTAATTAATATAATTAATTATTAATATTTAATATTAATTAAATATTAATTATCTTGTCTACATTTATGTCTGACTGGGAACACCTGTAAAAGTGATTAGAGGCTGCCCCAAAAGCCTCCATCCGTCTCCGAGAGCCAGGCAAGCTACTGAGAGTAACCTGCCCGCACAGCATAGCCTGGCAAGCTACCCATGGCGTGCGCGATATGCCAAAAACAGTAACAATGATGATCCTCATTCTCCTGACCCTGAACGAGCCCCTAGTATGCCATTGGGCTACCCTAGCATGTGACAGGGACAAATGGAGACGTTACTGACGCCCGCTTGAGCAAATCGATGAACAACGGGGTGATAGTGATAGTGATAGTGATAATTATTGGAGGGGGCCGCATTTAATGATGCTCAGGAGTTGCTGCAGTTGGTGCTCAGGAAGACCAGGGGGTACTGAGGATCAACCAGTGTGGGCTACATGCAAGGTAATTGCCTTAACTCTGTACTATCTCTCTGAACACTTAACCATGTTTATAGGGTTCATATATATGTAGATATGTAAATATATATTTTAATAAAAATATACATAATATATTTTTATTCAAAAATTAAATAGCAAGTTGCTCTTTTCCAAAGTAGCAGCTTAAGAACTTTCCATGCTTTTAATGTAAATTTATGAAATAATGCTATACAGAGACATTAATAAGCATAGACATTTAAAAATCACCATCCAGAAAATTAAGTTATGTTTCTCTATCTAAAGAATCATAAATATGGAAAGAATCTTGTCTAAGCCAAGACCACGATAAGATTGTCCTAAGCTTTCCGGATATTGATATGAGTATTCCTGAAATCATTCATACTTACTCCTTTATTCAAAGATTTGTTATATAAATCAAATTTCCCTCCATTTGTCAGGCAAGAAGCCACAAATCAGTGACTTAAGGGATTGGCAAAATATGTAATTAGATACTATCAGTCATCATAAAAGAGCCTGCTTTTCTTGTCATCAGATAAAGGTACATTTAGTCTACTAAGAACTTTCAAGCTCAACTGAAGCATTAACTCTCTAAAGCCACAGTCCAGTAAGCAGTGATAGTTAAAAAGAAACAGCTTAAAACACTGAGAATGTGTAGGTCTAGTAGCCAACTCAGACTTCTCATTTCCCCACCACTTCAGACTGTGTCTGCATTTTAGTTTCCTCATTAGCAAACTGGAAGATGGGTAGGGTCAGAGAGAATAAGCTAAATGATCTCTTAAACTCTTTCCTATTCTAACTCTCTTTGATCCTATCATTCTAAAAGGAGGTCCGGAAAGACTTGGCATGAAGATCAACATCTTAAATTACCCATGAGACCTGGTGGTGCAGGAGGGGTTGGGGGCGGGGTTGGACGAAAGAGATAGAGAGGGAGAGAGAGAGATAGTGAGAGGAGGAGGAGGAGGAGGAGGAGGGGAGAGAGAGAGAGAGAGAGAGAGAGAGAGAGAGAGCAGAGAAGAAAGAGTTTGTTTGGCAAGCATGGTAGGCACAGTCCCAGAATTTATTCATTCACAGAACAGTCTTTTCTTCTTGATTTAGTGATTGTGAGTTGTTTAAAAGCTATACCCCAAGATAATAAGAGTTAAAATGTTAAATTCTAAGTGATTTATGTGTATATACAAATAATCAATTAGTGTTTTGTCTTAAAAGGGTTTCCTTTATTCCTATTGCATTAGGGTTAAAGGTAAAAGGTAAAGGCCCTCCCGTTGATCGTCGATTTGCTCGAGCGGGCCCAGTAACGTCTCCATTGGAGACTTTGTTGTTACTGTGTCTGGCATATCCAATACTCTCGGCAGCTTGCCGGGCTCTCCGAGAGGGGCGGAGGAATCGAACTCGGGTCAGCCATGTTGGCCCGCTTGTAAGGCGAACGCCCTACCCGCTGTGCTATCGCTCCAGCATTAGGGTTAGATTAAACAATATGTTTATTTATTCTATAATCTCACAAACAGGAAAAAGTTTTCAAATGGCTGAGTTCCACAATTTCAGGGTAGACAGACACTTAGAGAAGCATTGTTGCATAACAGAGATGCCTCTTCCTAAAACACATTAGATCAGAATCAATTTTGAGAAACATACATATGGGGCTGGTATATTTTGAAAATTACATGAACATAAATAGTAGATTCCTACTATTTATGACCATTTATAACTTTCATTGAAAAATTTGTTTTTTAGGGCCTTCACTTGCTAAGGCAAAAAGATAAAGATTTCACACAGTTCATATTTTTTTCCAGCTTTTTCTTTTTAATACATCTCCAAGTTACTCCCCCCCCCCCTCCAAAGTTGTAGTATTTCGGTAGAGAAAACTAACAACAGTATTCTAAATATACTAAGTAGTTCTTGCAAATTTTATTGGTAAACAATATGTGTGTGGCATTTATATGTGCAAAGCATCTACACACTTTTGTTCTATTACTTGATTCTCACTCAGTCTAATCAAAGTGACACAATGTGATAGTGTAAGAGATGAAGGAATTAGGTTCTGTCTCTGTGGTTAGCCTTAAGTAGATGAGTTTTTAGATAGCAGGGTCTGGGACCTCGTATTCCAGTTCCAGTTTTAACTCACCTTCCTAGTCATGCATTCCAATGATGCAGTCCATTGAAAAGATTGAAAGACAGGTATGAAAGTCGAGAACTTTCACTCTCACCTCTGGCACTGCCTGGCCCAGTGTCCCTGATCAAGCTAGTTTCCATTTTGAACCCCATTTGTGAGTTAATCTAAAAATAGTGCCCCCACCACTATGGAACTGTGGGAAGGATTGAATGGAATAAAGCATGAGAAGTACATAGCAGAATGTTCCATAAATGTTAGCCATTGTTATGTTATTATGTAATCTACAAAGTATGTTTAGTCGCATTGCATGAAATGCTTTCAGTTTTCCAAAGATGTTGCTGATACGTGTGAATCAGATCCTGAATATTAATTTCTTGGTCACAGTGAGGATGCAAGAGGAAACTATTATATCCCATATTTTAGAGACAGACTTGTTCTGCCTTTTTAAAAAGAATTGTCATGTCATGTGTTTCCTATGGCGTTGAAACGTTTGCAGAATGAACATATGAAATTGTCATCTTCTTAGAGTCAAAAGTGACAGAATAATGGCAATTTCATACCACTCAGCAGATCAACAAACTACCCAGCAGTTGACAGGATTTTGGGAACTGCAATGAGAGTATGCAGGGAGCTGAGGTGGAAGGGACAATTGTTCCACTTTCATTCCAACAGCTGAGGAGGAAGGAATTCCACACTTCTCCCAAGAATCAAAAATTGTAGCACACAGCCTTCTGTCTCTGTCCCTAACCCAGAGGCATACCCCAGTTCCAAACAAAATCCAGAGGATAAAATTATATGTCTCAATGCCTGCAAATTCCCAAGGAGGGCACCAAAAGTACTTGACAGCGGGTGAGCTGAGGAAATTCAGCAGCTGTTGAAGTCACCTCCTGGGGCTTGCCAAATGTTTGAAAGGGAATATGCCCTGTGTGTGAGCGGTGTCAGGGAGGGAGCTGGGGGTGGGGGTGGGAGAGTGGGGGGGGGGGAGTGGAATTTGGGGTACATGGGTCAGACATGAGTACTAGGAAAAAATAACCCCATGCTGGTGGAGACTCCCTGTGGGCCTTTGCACGTTGTTTATGTCTCTCCTGGGGCGCTTCTGCGTCTGTTTCGGGTCATGCCTCTGTATTGGAGCGGGGCGACTCTGTGCCTGCTGGGTTTTGTGTGTTCTCACGGGGATTGAGGGGTGCGGGGAGATGGCATTGGGGCTCTCGGAGGTGCGCGGAACTGGCAGGGTGTGTCTTTGTCGGTGGCTGCGGTTCCGTATAAGTCTGAGCTTGTCTGCTGGGGTGCACTGGTGCCTGTCTGTGCGTGCCTTGGTGGGCACTGCTTCAGCCTGTCGGTGGGATGGGGGCAGCAGCAGATGAGCAGACAGGTAAGAGCCTCCGAAGAAGCCCAAGCTCCGGAGCTGGCGGGTGAGCACGCCAAGCCCAGCTTCAGGCTCTGGGGCCAGTCCCGGGAGGGAGGGGTGGCCCGCTTGGGCGCTGGGGAGCAGCTGGGCCCCGCCTGGGCCAGCCCCAGGAGGGGGCGGGAGAGGGGAGGGAAGGGGCGGGATGGGTGAGGACCTCGCCCCTTCGGGGGCTGCCGGCGCGTTATTGGCCGAAAGTTGCATCACGTCACGGGGAGGGCAGTTCCCCTAAAGTCCTGTGCACATAACGGGCAGCGCGCACTCCCAGGCGGCTTCAGCCGAGCGCGGACGGAGCGCCCCGCGAGCCGAGAGCACCGCCGGCGCTGAGTGTGCAGGACGCGCCCCCACCACACCCACCGCACGGCCCCTGGATGAGGCTGCCAGGCGCCCGCTCAATGCCCGCAGCGCCCCGCCGGAGGTCAGCCCGCTGAGGCAGGCGCGGCCACCGCGCTCACCTGCCCGCCCGCGCGTCATGGGACAAGCTGGGAACCGCAGCGTCTTACTGCTGACGGCCAACGCGTCCCAGCAGAACGCCACGCAGCCCTCCCGGGACGAGGCGTGGGTCGTGGGCATGGGCATCGTCATGTCGCTCATCGTCCTCGCCATCGTCTTCGGGAACGTGCTGGTCATCACGGCCATCGCCAAGTTCGAGCGGCTGCAGACGGTCACCAACTACTTCATCACGTCTCTGGCCTGTGCCGACTTGGTCATGGGCCTGGCCGTGGTGCCCTTCGGGGCCTGCCACATCCTCATGAAAATGTGGACGTTTGGCAACTTCTGGTGCGAGTTTTGGACCTCCATCGACGTGCTGTGCGTCACGGCCAGCATCGAGACCCTGTGCGTCATCGCGGTGGATCGCTACTTCGCCATCACGTCACCCTTCAAGTACCAGAGCCTGCTGACCAAGAACAAAGCCCGCGGGGTCATCCTGATGGTGTGGATCGTGTCGGGCCTCACCTCCTTCTTGCCCATCCAGATGCACTGGTACCGGGCAACCCACCAGACGGCCATCGACTGCTACGCCGAGGAGACCTGCTGTGATTTCTTCACGAACCAGGCCTATGCCATCGCCTCCTCCATCGTCTCCTTCTACTTGCCGCTGGTGGTTATGGTCTTCGTCTACTCCAAGGTGTTCCAGGTGGCCAAAAGGCAGCTGCAGAAGATAGACAGAGCCGAGGGCCGCTTCCACGCCCAGAACCTCAGCCAGGCGGAGCAGTATGAGCGAGGTGGGCAACGCAGGGCCTCCAAGTTCTGCCTGAAGGAGCATAAAGCCCTCAAGACGCTGGGCATCATCATGGGCACGTTCACCCTGTGCTGGCTGCCTTTCTTCATCGTCAACATCGTGCATGTGATCCAGGACAACCTCATCCCTAAGGATATCTACATCTTCCTGAACTGGGTGGGCTATGCCAACTCCGCCTTCAATCCCCTGATCTACTGTCGCAGCCCCGATTTCAGGATTGCCTTCCAGGAGCTCTTGTGCCCGCGGAGGTCTTCTCTGAAGGACTGTGGGAACGGCTACTCCAATAACAGCAATGATAGGACTGAGTTCATAGGGGAGCAGAGCGGATATCACCTGGGCAAGGAGAAAGACTGCCAACTGCTATGTGGGGACCCCCCAGGCATGGAAGACTTTGTGAGCCGGCAAGGTACTGTGCCTAATGATAGCATTGATTCTCAAGGGAGGAATTGTAGTACCAATGACTCACTGCTGTAACGCAGCTTTTCTACTTTTTAAGACCCCCTCCAAAACACTAAAGACTATTTTAGCATGGAATAAATTTAAAAAGAAACTGTATATACATGTGCAGGAGGAAGGACACCCTTCGTAACCCCCTCCCCCCTTTTTTATTTTTTTAAGCTGTAAACAAGTGGAAATGTCTGAATGATTGTTCCTTGTGGGGTTCCTCTTGGCTTGGAACTTGTATGTGGACGTGTGTTGTGCTTCAGTCCCAGACGGCCTGGGCTGCTACATGTGATGTATTTTCAGTGTCAACTACCTCATTTGTTAAGTATTAGGGGTTCCTATTGCTGCTACTCATTTGTATTTGAAAGTTTTTCCTTCCTGCACCTTTGGACCGGTGGTCTTGTGTATGTTGGACCTTTCAGCTGTGAACATGGACTCTCCCAGTTCCTCCTGTTTGCTCTGATGGGGTGTCAGAGGCAGGGGTTTGAGGGGAAGCTTCAGGCATTTTCTGGAGCAAAGTCTAAAGTTTACAGTAAATAAATTGTTTGACCATGACTTCATTGCACCTGTTTCTCCAAAACCCCTTGACTGGAGTGCGGCTGACCTCCCCACTGGAAACCGCAGGTAACTATTGGTAATAACTGCCTAGTGATTTAATACAAGAATGACATGGGAATGATAAGTACTAATTGCTTAACCCTCTCATCGGCCTTTGGATTTGTCTCTGAAACCTGTCTCTCTCCTAAGACGAGGGCCCCATATCAGCCCAGCCTGCTCCCAGGGTTGCTGCCTGTCTCTTGTCCTACGGTTATTATGGTGTGCTGTTTCATCAGAAACACTGACTCATAGAAGCCAAGTGAAGGGCATCTGTTCGTCCCTCCAAGCGCCCCCACCACCCACCTTCTAGCCCTACTCGTTTAATAGCTGCTCCCATGGCTGCCTTTGCTGGACTATATAGTGGGGATCTTTGTCCGACAGCAAGGCTTTGGCATTTTACAGATGATTTTCTGGGCAAAGCTGCCCCAACAGTCACGTAATTCCAAGGGAAACTGAAAGGGCATGGGTCCTAGGGAGCCAAACTGGAAGAGACTTAACTAACGAATACCTCATGACCTAGAAACAGGTTTGAATCTCTCCTTCAGTTTTGCTTCTGTCCCTCCCCTCCCCCCCCACCCCGTCATTTCAATATAAAATGCCAAGATTTCTCAGCTTTGGCACCAGGGGCCTTTGGGGCCTGATATTTATCTGCAGTGGGGCTGTCCGGTGTGTTGTCAGATAGATCAGGGTACCTTTGGCCTCTGCCATTTGACACGAGCAGCAGCCCCTGAACAGTGACATCCCAAACTGTCTCCAGACAGGACCAGATAGCCCCAACAAAAGGGGCTCTGCAGTGACTGAGCACCAGAGACAACAAATTTCAACCAGAGGGACAGACTTTGAGTAAATTTGTGTAAATTCCCCCCAGTGGGTTTTACAGAGCCTGGGAGAGGGGTTTTCCATATGACCACCTGGTTAATGACAGACCCCAGGGGTCAACACTCCTCCATCTCCCTCCCTGCATCCTTCCCTATGTGCAGATACTTTTGAGTAGGAGCGGTGAATTGTTGGGGAGGGTTTATCAATGGAGGCGAGGCCTGTGAACCGTCCCTGCCTGTTCGGGGAGAGATTGTGACACTGTTAAGAGGCACATGAGGGAAAATCACAAAAGTAAACACATTTCTTCCCCCACCCTCTTTCTATTTTTGCCCGTGTGTCAGAGCTAGAGCTTGGCCCAGGTCTCACTGAGTGGCTCATCCTCCTTGGTAACGCCAGCCTGAAGAGGATCAGTCTTCAGGGTTCATTGCCATCCCCGGGCTCCTGAGCTCACGCTGGTGCTCTCTTCCCCTCTGTCCCAGCCAAGGTTCCCAACCACAATCGTTTTGGCCTCCTCTGCTTCCTGTCAGTTCGGCAACAGGGCGCCCTGACAGGCACTGAGCTCTCAAGAGAAAGCTGGGCACCCATTTGGGAACAGTGCCACGGCACCTAGGGGAGCAGGGCATCCCACTTGCTCCTTCGTTATCCCAGGGCTTTTCTACCTATTCTCACATTCCCCTTTCCCACTCTGAAACCCAACCCCCAGAGGCAGGCAGTGTCGCCAAGGAAATCTTGGCACTCTCTGTAGCCTCACGTGGAGTCTGGGACTCAGAAGGACTTATAGAAAGATTTGACATTGCAGTAGATGGAAAGTTGAAAAGGGGATTGACTTGTCAATGTAAGAAGCAAAGGAGGTCAGCCATGGATGTCCTCTCGGCACCATGTTGTAGCTGGAGTTTTCATCTTCCACTCCAGTTCCCAATTGTGGAAACTTTTATTTGGGACTATAGCAGAATAGTCATTTCTGCAGATGTTTTTATTGCTTTCGGGTCCTTAACACAAAACTCAGGCAATAAATCTGCTTCATGGACAAGGGGAAGAGTTGCTCTTTTCCTAGGCAAGAGTTCACTAGAATATTTTCAGCAGTTAGGGAAGCTGGGCAAATCCTTAACTCTTTTATGAATGACTGGGACTTTTAAAGTCACTCCAGGTAGAATTTCCCATAGTTTTACTTGGAAGGAAAAAAAATATTAAAAACATTTCTGTCATCCTTTGTAAGTCCCTTGGACAATATATGTTGTTAATAAACAATAGTGCAAAACTATAATCTTTTAAAAAATTATTTCATTAAAACTGTGATTTGAGTTTTAGGCATATCATGTCTTAGCACTAGAGGAGCTCCTGACACCATTTCAGTTAAAAGTACAGTAGTGAGTGTCAGTTGAGATTTTTAGCCCAACGTAGTTTTAACCACATTCATGTTGCTTTGGAAATACATTTAAGTACCAGGACTTTGTTCAGGTTTAAGGAACTTACCAAGCAAGAACATCTGAACTAGATCTCAGTTCCTTGTTTTCTACCTCTTTCAGTTTTGCTTTCTTTCTTTGGGGGGAGGAGGAGGGACGCTTATGTCAGTGTTCCTCAGTTCCTCTGTGGATTGACAGGTTGCTTACATAAGGCTTGTATCGGATCCATCCTCATAAAGTTATCTTTGCCTTGAACAACAAGTGCTGTGAGTTTGTCAAGTGAGAACCTTCTCTGAGATGAGAGACTGACAGGTGTACATGGGGGCAGGACAAGGTAGGCCCCCACCGAGATCCTCATGGGGGAAGAAACTTGGGGGAAAAGGTGACTGGAAATAGTAACTGCAAATGACAAGTGACTTAAAACATTTCTCATGTGAAACTACTGTTGAAAATAGCCCGGACCAGAATCTACTAGGGTATTTACAGAGCATGTTTGGTTATAAATGGCATACAAAACTCATAGACCTCAGCCAGCCTGTGCAGCAGAATATTGATGATATTGACTAATAATTATCATTATGTATAATAATAATTATTTAGATATATACCTTTTATGGCTGGAGCGATAGCACAGCGGTAGGGCGTTCGCCTTACATGCGGCCAACATGGCCGACCCGAGTTCGATTCCTCCGCCCCTCTCGGAGAGCCCGGCAAGCTACCGAGAGTATTCGATATGCCAGACACAGTAACAACAAAGTCTCCAATGGAGACATTACTGGGCCCGCTCGAGCAAATCGACGATCAACGGGAGGGCCTTTACCTTTTACCTTTTATACCTTTTATGAAATCTTACTAAATATCAGGCTCTATGCTACTCACTTTTCAACATCCTGTCCTCTTGACAGCCATATGATGCATTTGTTCTCATTTATTAATGAGGGAGGGTGCAGAGGTTGGAAAAGTTTAAGAGACTCTCCATAGCCACAAACTGATTAGGTCAGGATTAGAATCCAGGTCCATGTGAGTCCAGCACCCATAGAACATAGTTCACATACAAACCAGGAAACAGCACCAGGCAGCTTCAAAACCATGCCAGGACAAGTGTAAGAACTGGAAATGCAATACCTTGTTGAGAGAAGAGGGTGATTGTGGTGGGTTGGGGCAGGAAGGAATGTTCCCTTTGAAGCATGTGATTTCAGGGTTGGTAAGGACCAGGACGGGAAACCAATCACTAAGAGTACCTGGTTGATGGTTCTGATTTTGTTTTGCTATATACCTAAGAAGCAGCCCAATTGAAAAAGAGGATCTGAAACAAAACTGAGTCTAGCATAAGCCCAGCTGAACCACAGCCTGCCTCCCGTCTCAATAAAGGCATTTGCACTTTCAAAGCTAGAAAGATCTCCTAAAGTTAGCTGGTAACTGGAGCTCATGGAAACGTCAGCCAGTATCAGTGGCTCTGCACGTGTTCTATTCCTTTGGGACTAGTTGTCTGGGGCAAGGAGATGATTGCATGGCAGAGACAGGGAGGGTTAATGCCTTTTGAATGGTCCCTTCTATTAACAATAGGACCTCCCTTAAATTCAGCTCTGTACTCAGAATCCTACTTCAGGGACAATGCAAATAGAACCTGAAGGAGGAATTTTTGAAATGCTTAAGAGAACAAACTTCCCAAGCACTTTCAAGACCTTGAGAAATATTGGTGTCTGATAAATAAGCGAAACGGCACTCAGAGCAAAAAGGTTTCTAGGTTTCAGCTTTGAGCTCAGTCAGTGTCTCTTATTTTGGCAGTTTTCCTCAATGTCTCTCTTCAGTGTGTTCCTCCTGAAAATCAGGTGTCTAAGCTCTCCTCAGTGCTAAATTTGTATGGACACTTAAATTGGAGGCGTATCAGAAAGAGTTTCTATTTCTCTCTCTCTCTTCCTTTATTTAATTGAATCACCATGGAGTACACAGTTACTAAGCTTGCATGATCGGGTTTCAGTCATACAATGTTCCTATGCCCATCCCTCCACCAATGTACATTTTCCACCACTGATGTCTCCAGTATCCCTGACACCATCATTCCTCGTCTCCCCTCCCTCCCTCCAAACACACAGCCTGCCTTTATGGCAGGCCCTTTTCTTCTCTCTCTCTCTCTCTCTCTCTCTCTCTCTCTCTCTCTCTCTCTCTCTCTTTCTCTCTCTCTCTCTCTCTCTATCTCTCTTTGGGCATTATGATTTGTGATAGAGATACTGAGAGGTCATCATGTTTGCTTCTATTTCTAATTAGAGTCCATGACGTTTGTCTTATAAATAATAGTTGAATGTCCTGGGTGGTAAATTTTCAGACTAGAATGCCACAAAGAGGACATTTTAGGGCATAATTGCCAATTACCTTCATATATTTAAGGACCATCTGAGAGAAGAGTCTGCTTGTTGGTTCTGTGTGAATACTGGAAGGCAAGCTGAAGGAGGGTCAGGTGAAGGAGGGTATTCCTCACTAAGTGAGCTTATAGTTCCTCAGAAGAGTTGAAGAGAAGCTAAATAAAGCTCTGTGAGGGAGAGAATGCTAGGGACTCCCACACTGAGTCTGAGCTAGACAAAGTATCTTCCAGGTCTGTGATTCTGTGACTCTAAAAAACAATAGACCAGAATGTTCTTTACAAGTATTCCTCCCATTCCCTAATTCCAACTAGCCTTCTCCCCAATTCCTCTGAATTTCAGAGGTTTCACTGCATTCCTAAGCAGGAACCCTCTTGGGGA